CATTGATTTATTCATAGTTTGACCTTGAAGATGCCGGAAGTTCGCTAGCACACATAAAAATACAGATTTTTTTTTTTGGGGGGGATATTGATATCCCCAACAATAGGTTTTTCTCAGGTGCATGTGTTACGTCAAAGCTAGGGAGCGTAAATTAACCACCTTTTCGACAGATAATGAACGTGCAGGGTGTGAAGAAAACATCCCAGATTGTCCCCCTTATGAAACCGAACAGCGTAAACCGTCATCGTCTGGTGGATTTATGTAAGGCCTCACAAACTTCTTTCGTGGTTCTGCGTTATGATTTTCAACATTGGATCACTACATTGAAAAAGCCAGTGGATTACACGGTAAAATAGCCCATTGCTAAAGACCGGTGGTGTTAGGGGACCTACACCTGATCATACTGCTCTCCTTCACGGACTACGCTTAATATTCATTTACCAATCAATGGATACATCTTAGCTCCTCATGTAAGGTTCCAACCATTCCATTTTTATCAACATCCCTTAAGAACAGTTCCCAGAGACCAACCCTGGCTATCCTGAGAGTTTTTTTTATTGTTAACTGAATAAGGGCAATTACACTGTCGTGGTTCGAAGCTCTGTCTGGTACATCTTCACATATCTTCACACATCACACATATGGCACAACCACCAACTCACCGCTACGCTCTCCTACGCTCCACAATAGCGCGCTGATGATGTCACCTCGATTGGTGATGAAACGTTTGCAGTCAAATCGCCCAGCTCAGCGAACAGGCCAACGACCACATATGCAAGCCTTTGGCACTGCGATCTTCGGCAAACATCACCATGCTATCTTATTGTCATCCTCCAGCTATAATCCTCAAGCCTGAATATGGAATGGATTGTCCTTTGGACGAAAATACCCAACGGGAGCCGTAGAAATCGTCCCGTGCGGCACGTGCGCTGCATGGACGGTACTGGACGTCATAATGAATCTATTTCTACCTTAAGTATGCACTCTGTCAGTCCCGAGGTGCGTGTGGTACAAAAGTACAATGCAGCTCGAAGGGAGTAAGAGGAGCGAGATACTCTCACACTTGCGCAGGTGTAGGTAGGATCAGCAGAGTTCAATGTATAGACCTTCCGATTAGTCACCAAGTTGTTCCGAGTCTTCCGTCCTAAGATTGGCCGTTGCGGTACACATGTACTCAGGGTACTGTGGGTAAGAATACGCTTTAAACCAAACTGTAATTTCGCACGGATGTGTCACTAACAGGACAATCAAATATTTCTAAGGTTTCTTTTTTGGTTCTCAATTCACGTGGAATATTTCTCACCGACTTGTTTTGTCGTATGCTTCTAAACCCTTTTTGTCACCTCTCACCACCTTTGTCACATACAGTTTCCTCCTTGTTCTCTGTGTTCTTTCACAGGATATGTATCACGAAGTACCCACTTGTCATATAACTACTGGGTACTACGTCGGTTTTTCGTACATGATGATGCGCCGCTATTTGGATGCCATTCGTACGCTGTCCGCCACGTTGGCCTACAAATCCCGAGCCATAGGAATCGTCCAGCGTGCCGAGTTGCGTGAGTACATCCAGAAACAGTCAGATCAAATGTCCAGCCTGTACGGATTATGTCTCACTCTGTGCCCTTTGTCCACGGATAATACGCCGGATTCGGATAGGCGGGACAAATTCGCAGAGACGCTGATTCGTCTTCAACAACTGTGAGTTGTTTTCGTGTTATTTTTATGCAACGAATTTCACTGCGTTGTACATATAGCCTGTTTCAGATGGTCTCAATCGGCGGACGATAGATGTACGGATTTTGATAGAGCAGGTGCATCTTTCTCCTTTGGAGAAAAATTGGTTTCATAGGACACTGTGTGTATAGGTGCACTCAACCTCTCAGATGTCATCCCTCTAGGTTTCTAGATTAACGACGGATCATATTCGTAAGAACCAAGCCGGAAAAAAATCGTTCAGCTGTAACACCCTTCCGGTGCCTAGCTGCCATGCCACCCGAATGAAGCACGAGGGCTGGGATACTGTCAGGTTGCCCAAGCCTAGACAGGGAGAGTCGAGAGGCAGAGGTCGGGTTCGAACTACGGACCTTCCAGTCAGTAAATTCGCGCTCTAACCACTTGGGCCGTCTCGCCCCCCC